AGTTTCGATCTTTCAGTGGAAGATACATGCATGTCATCGTAACTTCCGACTACCACAATGCTAGCAACACCAAGAAGAAAATGTGGATGAGGGAGAGAGGGGACAGGAGTAGGAACTCGACGTTTTTAGATTGTGTGTTTTTATTGTTAAGTGTTAAAAACGATTGTGGATTGATATTATGTTGTTTTAGATTTTAGTTATGCGTGAACAATTATGATTTGTGTTTTATTGTATTTCTTGTTGGTTTGTTTAGTTGTTATGTTATAAAGTTATGAGTCCTTGTTATCATTATTTATGACTGATTTGTTAGTTTAAAACGTAATTTGTACGAGCTAAAGAACCACCCACATTGCTTCCCAAAGAGGTCGGCCATTTTCTATAAAAGGTCAACTGCGTCGTTGAACCTCACAAAACTGAAACGGCATATTAGGTCGACCTAATCCTATATAAGGTCGAGCTAAAAGTGAAGATTAGGTCGACCTAATCCTATATAAGGTCGACCTAAAAATGCAAGTTACGGTGACATGCATGTCACCGTAGCAAAGTTCTAATTAATATATACACAATCATTCCATTTTGTTATAGTTTGAGCAAAGAAAAAATTAGCTCTTCAAAACATTTGTTGGTTGTAGTATTATCAATATCATATCAGTCATACAATGATCTTGCCACTAAAGTAAGAAATGCACATGATACGACTATCATAATCATGATATTATCATTATGATATCACGATATGACAGTGATATAATATCATCAAATTATTTTCTCAAACATAATTCTTCATACCAACATTATATCACTGTCATATCATGTCCTCAAATTATTTTGTCAAACATGAGACAGCATACCAACATCGTAATAGTGATATGATGTCATCAAATTATTTTGACAAACATAAGGCATCATATCACTATCATATTAATATTATATCATCATCATCATACCACTATGATATCATACCATTATGAATGATAATATTGTTAAATGAAAGTGGTAAAATTATCCTTAAAAGGATTCAAAAAAATATTAATATTGATATCATTATGTAGAGCACAAAAAATCTAATATTTCTATGCAAATTTTTTTAATCTGATGACGAATGAGTTATAGTTCGTTGAATTTTTGTAGGAGATTAAAAAAATATTTTAACAGCACACATGGAAATTTAAGCCATCCCCAAATTCCGGTAAGCTCTCTTCCTAAATACCTACTTTTCCTCCTTAGAGCATCTCCATCAATGCAATTGCAAAAGGAATTGTATTTGTGTTTTTTATTGTTAACTCAAATCTTTAGCAATCCACATCACATTCATTTCATTCACCTACATCAATGCAATTAACTTGTAATTGCAAATGTAGTTAAATATTATGTATAAATTATAGAAAATTAAGAAAATTAAGTAAAAAATTCCCATTTTTTAGGCTTTTTTGACTTGCATATGGAATTGCATTTGTTGCAAGCTTGCAAATATGCAATTGGCAGCCACATCAATGCAATTGGTTTTGCAATTGCAAACACCTATGTCATGTCATTTTGCAATTGAGAATGCAATACCAATGTGGATGCTCTTACCCGGTTACCCCTCTACAAAGATGATCATTAGTTCGCTTACCTCCCAATCTCGGTCATCCGTTATGATTTTGTAGTACTACAAACTATATGAATTTGTACCCTAACCCAAGCCATAAAATATACACATGCATAATAAACACTTTCTTCTTTACCATAATGCAATATATATATATATATATATATATATATATATGGCAAAGGCTAGCGTATGCCCGGACGTACCCTAGCCTACAGTACGCCCGTTGAGTTTTGCTATTTAGACAGTAAATTAACCGGAGTTTGGGGCACGATACTATACCCTAACCCCTAATGAGTGAACCCCAGTCTGCAATTCACTAATCCAAATAATAATATTCATTTAATCTTGAAATGAAAATCAACGGTTCTGATTCGTCGAAATTATTGTAGATTTTCATTTTAAGATTAAACGAATCTCATGATTTGGGTTAGAAAACTAGGGACTGGGGTTTATCCATTAGTGGTTAGGGTATAGTATCATGCCCAAAACTCCGGTTAATTCTTGATCTAAATAGCAAAACTCAAACGGGCGTACGGTAGTCTAACGTACGCCCAGGCGTACGCTAGCCTGAACCATATATATATATATATGGTGGCGTATTCGGTGCACCCACTTTTTCGGGTGCACTCAGTGCACCCGCCTCATAATTGTCATTCTGACCATGCAATTCATGTCAAAACCGTATCAATTGTTGCTTATGATATTATGAACAAGAAGCACATGAATTTGAAAAAAAATTCATTCAAAATTTACTTTAATTTGAAGGATTTATGATTTAGGGATTTAGGGTTAGGGTTTAGGTTTACAATTTGGGATTTTGGGTTGGGATTAAAAATTGAAGGTTAAGGGGTTAGGGTAATGGATTGGTTTGTTATGATTCTATGTCATATCATCATATTATATTGAGAGTACTAATTAAAGTTCAAAATTTGATGTATTATAGACACTTTTAGAGTGCACCCAAAAAAGTGAGTGCGCTGAAGTAGCCACCATATATATAAATGATATGACATAGAATCATAACAAATCAATCCATTACCCTAACCCCTTAACCTTCAATTTTGAATCTCAACCCAAAATCCCAAATGGTAAACCTAAACCCTAACCCTAAATCCCTAAATCCTAAATCCTTCAAATTAAAGTAAATGTTGAATGAATTTTTTTCAAATTCATGTGCTTCTTGTTCATAATATCATAAGCAACAATTGATACCATTTTGACATGAATCGCATGATCAAAATGACAATTATGAGGCGGGTGCACTAAGTGCACCCGAAAAAGTGGGTGCACCGAATACGCCACCATATATATATATATATATATATGAAATATAGGTTTCGTCTTCGCTACACTCACTTTTTTGGTGCATTCAATGCACTCGCATCATAATTATAATTCTGAGCGGGGGATTCATATCACAACAATGTTAATCATCATGTATGGTATAATGGACAAGAATTCCTATGAATTAACACAAAAATTATTCAAAATTTAGATTAATTTGAAGGATTTTATGGATTGAGGGTTAGGGCTCATGAATTGGGGTTTAGGGCTAAAGTTCAAAATTGAAGGGTTAGGATTTAGGATAATGCATTTACTAATGTTACCAATTAAAATAATAAAAAAATTGATATTTTATAGCTACTTTTAGAGTTGTGCTCTACAAAATGAGATCAACTTTCAATATATTTCGAGAAATTTTTTTTACCAACTACTATCATATGGTAACTTCTTCGTTTTAAAGTCGTTTTTGAAAACATATGCTTAGAAGGAACGAGTTCACCATAATCTATTGGATCTATAAATTTTTGGGTGAATTCTGGATAAAAAATTACCATACTTTACCACTATAGTATGTGATTGGTAACTTGTGGTAATTTGTAGTAAACAATGATGAAAGTCGTAAGACAGTTAATATACTCCTACTATCATGTATTCAACCTTCTTACCATATTGGTATGTTCATACCATCATGGTACGTTTTCTTACCATATGGTATTAAATTGGAGCATACCATATGGTAATGACTGGTAAAAAATTATTCAATTTTTTTGTACTAAAAATATATCAAAGTGGATGTCATTTTGAAGAGCATATTTAATCTGATTTATCTGTGCAAAAAAAAAATCGACTTAAAACGAGAGAGCCGTTAAAGATTAAAAGAGAAAAAACAAGAGACTTTCCAGGAGAGAGAAGCTACTGATGTCATGCTAATGTGAACAGGTTACTCATGGTTACTGACCATAGAGTTACTGACCTGATCAACTCTCGTATGAAGTCTATTAATAAAGGAATATATTGCTTTAATGAATACATCCCTATTAAAGGATAGGCCGTTCATAATATAATTAATTAATTGATAATTACCTTAAAATGGATGAATCGGATTTCTTGATCTTGTGATAGCATCGCTTCCTCTATGAAAACTTTTCTTTTGTAGGCGTAGATCAACATTATCTTACACTGACAGAATCCTCATGCTAACTTAGGGGTCGTTTGCTTGTTGGATTTGAAAAATGAGGGTTTTGGCCAACAAATAACTAATGTTTGCATGATAGTTTTAATGATGGATTTGTGATGAATTTGTTAAATAAATAACTAACCATCAAGGATTTGCAAATCCCAAATCAATATGTGGGATTTACAAGTCCGTGGGGTCCACGGATTTGGTTCCAAAATAAAGACCAAATCTGTGGACCCCACAAATTTAGCACCCTTCAACAAACAATGGACTTATGTTATCCAACAAGCAAACGGCCCCTTAAAAACAGCCACTTTCGAATTTACCTAAGAACGACGGCATCTTAACTAAGTAAATAAAACATTCATGATAATGGTCAAAGTTTTCACTTATGGAGTTGGTTCAAATCGATAGAATCTCGAGTACATAAAACAGTCAAACTAATAATATGTTATAAATAATTATCTCTTTATTAACATAATGACACCGAGCCCTTATTGCAGCCCGCGCTACTAAATCAGCTGCTTTTTTTTTGGTACCAACAATTAAAAATTGTTTTCTCCTACTTGCTGCATCAAAAACTAAATCACAAGCTTCTGATAAGAAACGAGCGGTTCTAGTAAGATTTATAATATGAAGAAGCAACATCATTGAAAATGAAGTAGAAGAGCAAGTTCAATACCGCTTTTATTCCATACTATCATATACTCGTATTATACAACATTGTAGAGATAGAAATACACATTGTGGAACAAAACGAAAAGAATGTTTGTTGCATATCCAATTTTCATCATCCGTTGGGAAGTGGTTGGGGAAAGAAACCATAATCTACATTCAATGCCCATATCCATGCCATAAGGAATATTATACCAGGTTCTACATTTGGGCGCTCGAGGCAAGGCCCGCAGTACACCAACTAGTACCAGTACCAGTACCACTAAGGCCTTCTACAACTCTTCCAAATTGCCAAGGAACTAAAGGTTCTACATTTGGGCGTTTCTCACTTGGCTAGAATACTGGAGCATCATTAGCATATATAATATGGCAATGAATAGCTATCTTGCTGCGTTTCACTACCAATTGAAAGTGTTCACAAGTGAATCTTATTCAAAAGCAACAGCATCAAGAAGAAAATTTCGATTAACCCATTAACATTCTGGAACAAGTACAAGGCTTGGGGGACAAACACAACCCTTTTTCCACCCACAGAATCATCTCATCAACTCATAGGATTATATCCTCAGCCTCAGTAATGGTAATTATATTTTCGACGTACCTGTCAATTCCACAGCAGTTATATTAAGTCTCGAGAGTCATTGCCTCGCCCTAATCGATGTACCAAAAAGTCAGGGGGGGAAACCCTCTAAGTTCTTTACAGACTGAAAGATACTGAAGGAGCCTTTCTTTCACTCTTTTCTCGTTCATGCTCTAACCCCTTGTCTGCTCGCCTGCCAATTTGTCTTCAATAAAAACAGCATTCAGAAGCAAATTTATACCTTCCCTACCATCAACCATGTCTTCAATCTTCCTTTTCGACTTCCTATGCATCCCATCAAAACACCTTTTCCCCTCTCTGTTCTCGTAGGCCTTCCTTTCCCTGCGCACTTTCTGAAGCTTCACCACACACTGCCTACAAAACCATCTCCCTTTTGGTATAGAACTTTGTGGCGGGCTCATGCAATAGATGTGGTAACCACTATCACAGGCATCACAAAGAACAATCTTATCATCATCTTTATCCGTTAAGCAACTCCGACACAAACAAGAAGGGCAGTACCAACGTGGACCATACGAGTTCAGCTGCTTAGCCGTCAAACACCTCACGTGATAATACTTGTTAGGGCAAAAGGGATGTTCACATATCTTCACCTTTCCGCCACTCTCCACCTCACTCCCACAAATCTTACAAGGGTTTAAAGGTTCAGTACCTTCTGAAAGCTGATGTGGATCATCTTTGCTCTCTTCTGATACCTGGTCAAAGTCAGAGAATGCTTCCTCATTTGTTTGAAGGACAGTAGGCATGGGAGGTTGATTATCTAGAGCACTGATGGGAGCACTTAGCTTCTCACAGACAACGCAGTTCTCATGAGAGCCCATTCCAATAGCTAAGCAGCTGGAACAGTACCAACTCTTGGGAGGAATCTTTTCAACAGCAGGTTCAATGCAAGAGATATGGTACATATCCTCGCATGAATCACATACTAAACAATCCGATCCATCTGCTTTGCTCCCACAGTGCCTGCATGTGCAGTGAGTGGTTGTTGCTGTTTCATCTGCTTTACCAGAGGAATCAGATTCTCGTGTGGGTAACTGCTTTTACGGGTAGAAAGAGGGGGAAAAAGGGATGGCATCAGAACCAACTATATCATAAGAATAAAGAATGAAAATTACTGTGCAAATTCGGAAGCAAGACATGCAGTCCACTGAACTAACCACCTATAAGGTCAGAAATAAAGCTTAGGATTAACATCTGGAATCATGGCAAGAAAAGAATGCATGGATGTTCTGAAGTTCATGAGAGATGGTTGCTTACTTGATCCTTAAAGCAAGTCTTCGATACATCCGAGAGGCTCTTTGCAAGGAAAATCAGTTCAGTTCCAATCCCTTCAAGTTTTTTCCAAAACTGAAATTTCATAGAGATTAATAACCACACCAATCTGAGTATGATAACCGAACAATTGTGTAGCCTGAAAATGACATAAAATTATGCATGCAGCAAGAAATTTCCCTCAACGTTCCCTGTAAAGGAGGTAAAAGGAAGACTGCTTAACTTGAAGCTCAAGAAAATAGTATTGGTAAATTGAGAGAGAAGCTAAGATCAGCTTCCATTTAGAGAGCAAAGGAGTTCCCGAGCTAAATATATCCAGAAAATGACAAATTAGTCAATGTCGGATGGAAAATTGGTCTTTCGAGGGAACCAGGTCTTTCATTAATTATTATCAAGGATTGAAAAACCGTACCGTACCGGCGGTTCGACCAGAAAAACCTCCTACCATAAGCAAAACCGGTAGACGGTATATAGCGGCATGACATGGTTGAACCGCAATTAAACCACGGATTCAGCATAAAATACCCTACCCTTAACTCTTCCGGTACGACCTCCAGTACGGTATTTAAATTCTTGATTATTATTATTATTATTATTATTATTTATTATTATGTTTATGTTTATGTTTATTACTAGGATTAGTATAAGGTTAGTAGTATTTGAGTCGTATTAGGTCAATTATTAAGTTTTTCCAGTCTTTCTCTATAAGTATGTAATTTGGATTTTCATTCAGGGCAGGGGCAATCAAAGAAGTACTAAGAAAACTAACTCAAATCCCCCAATCTCTCTTGCCTCCCTTCTCCCTATCAAGGCCGCCAGACCTCTCCCAGATTCTTCTCTTCAATCCCGAACCCCTAATTCATGTTCTTTCTATCATAAATCCCTAATTCTCCCTCTATATCTAGCTCTTCATCCCTAAATTCCCATGATCCAATCCAACTCCTAATCACGTGACCCGATTATGAACACCCTAAATCCAAGTTTTCGTCATCAAGGGAAGAGACTGATCAGAGTACACAAAGGATTTCCTTCAATTGGCAAATATATATTAGTCTATGAATATGAATTGTTGACTAGAACTAGTGTGTCCAGTAAAGCACAATCCTTGATGTGGAACCAAAACACACACACACACAGAGATAGAGAGAGAGAGGTTACATATCAACAATCATAGATTAACGTCTCCGTACAGGGTTAAACTAGTAATATCTGTCAGTGAGCATTTTCGATGCAGATATTAGAGCAATGAATCCGGTAGCAAAGTCATAGACCTCCAATCAAGTAAATTAATTAGCTACTTGGACAACAGAGGAATTCATCAGAGTTATCTTACACACCTGTTGGATATCTTCAGAGAAAAGCCAGGGTGAATTCTCGTAAGCTCCATCTTTCATCCTTCGGTTTATAAGGCTTAGGCTGAAAAGGTTATCAGCCCTGCTTTCATGGAAATTTTCAAACAGCAATTTGCATAGGGAGGTGAATTTTTCAGATGATATAATCCCATGGAATGCAAGCCGACACATATCCGTTACAGTACGGTGATTTGGTTCATAAGAAGCCTCATTGGATTTGCCGCCATGATATTTTTTGGCCAAATTGGGAGTTCCATAAGACAACCATACTTTCTTCGAGGACTTACACCTATCTCTATCACAACCATCGGAAACCTGAGAAAACAGACAGTATACCAAATTCAGAATGGAAAGGGAAAATCAATAGCTGATATAACAAGCCACTGCCTTTTATGATTTTGGTGCAGACCTTCAAAGTCCTAAGTACATCTTGGATGCATCCTTGTATGCCACCTTCGTCATCACTTAACGACCGATACATTTGCTCTAGGATATAGTTTCTCCACTGCCCTCGTGAAACATCGCTTGAACTAGCTAAATCAGCTTGACTACCAGCATGATGGTCCTGGGGTTCCTTCATGATCTACAAACATTAAGTTTTAGCTATTCAAAGAACAGAATGGTTGATTATGTAAAACATGAAAGAAGTAAGTACCACAAACAAATGCAAACAAACAATCTTGCATCCATATGACAGGCACAAAAAGTGAGAAACCAGTAAGTCCAGAAAACTCTTCTCGTTTTTCGCATTTCTTGAATTTCTAGTTCGTTGCCATGGATATTTATATTATAAATAGAAACATAGCCAACTGAACCTGCCGCCATTAGGCATAGAAGCATAGCCAACTGAAGCTACAACCACTTTTACATGCAAAAATGCTTAGCACATTGTTTTCCATCAAATGTAAATTAGCCAATATAGCAACGGTTCTCTACATCCTTGTCCAGATTGTGCAACTAATCCATATAGTTTCCTATCTGGCCTCCTAAAGGAATTGAAGAAGTATATCAGAAGGCATCTTGCATCTACATGGCATCATACAAGAGCATCTACCAGGAAATCTTCAAAGTAGTTATTTTGTTCAAGTCTCAATTCACTCACACAAACAAGCCAAGTGACTGATCAGGTTTGGCAAAAACTTGTGGGTGCCGGGTACAATTAGATTACAGTGGTCTGAAAAGCAAAGGTTTTGTCAGATATATACTCCACTTTTGAAACTGGCAAACAATTTGTGAGTGTAGACGAAAAGCTGAGCGTGCTCAAGCAACCAGCATCATATAAAGTCATTGATATCCTACTAGCAAGGAGAACAGTACACTAGCACAAAACCCCATGTAAAGGAAAGCATCATTTACACAAACTTCATTGCTGTATTCCCACAGACGAGTTCAATCTAAGCCTTTTTAGTTCATTCTTTCAAGTGACTACATCATTTAAGTTGCAAGCAGCTTCAATAAACTCTTTAAGAATGCATAATATCATACAAGTATATCACTATCGTCTCTATTCTAAAACTGGATGCCTTTTCTACAAAATCCCACTTATAGCAGAAAATTTATCATTGCATGTCACAGATGCATGATACTTATTCTTGGCTGCCCTTAACCCAACACCAAAGTTATCCAACACTACCCCGAAATCCTGATGAAGAAGAAAGTACTAAACAGTAACCAATCTATGATGAGTTGAGTAATGAGCACATACAAGAGAAAAGACCAGAAATCATAGCCATACCTCCTGATCCGCCAATTTACCAACAGCTTCACCAGAAACACTGACATCCCCTTGATCTTTGCTCTCTGAACTAGATGCTGTAAGCTTCTTCCTCTTATAAGTGCGAAGGCCCTCACCATTGTTGCTCCCGAACCCATTAACCACTTCACTCATCAAGCATTTCCCTCTACCATCCATATCCGACCCATTGCTCATTCCCCCTTCCCTAACCATCCCTTTCAACACCATAGAAAACCGAAAGAGAAAGAAAATCAGTGCATTTATAAGAGAAGCCAGACCTTGAACTCAAGCTCTCAACACCCATATAGGGTTTCACTGTAAGAAAATCAAGAAAACTCAACAGTATACAATAGCCGTCAACTCAAGAAAAGAACACAAATTGCCAATCTTCAATAAGGAGAACCCAAAACCTCCTAAGTCTAGAAAATTCAGAGTCGAAACAAGAGAACACCAAAAACTACGAGACCAAACTTCGAATCTAACGCCAGAAACTTCATAAGTTTTGCTCTCAGAGAGATTGAATTTAAGCCAAATTACTTGGATGAAGCTTCAAAGCTTATCATTGCCCGAAATTGGACAAGATTCACTACTACTACTAGCAACGCAGAAATCTTCATCCTTCGTCCTTCTCTTTACCCGTTTTTCCTTTCCCTATGGCTACATTCTCTCAGTACCCATACAACCCAGCGAAACAGAAAAAGAACACAACAAGAATCCTTAGCAGAAACACGAAGTTGAGGATAGGGAAATAGTCGTTACCTGAGACAGAAAGATGGATTCCTTGAATGCCAAGAGAATTGAAGCCCTCGGAAATCTGCGGAAGAATGAAGAACGGGAGCCAGAATCGGTTTCTTCTCTTTTATTTTTTTGGCTATGTCAATGAATGTGCTGCTGTAGTAAAGTTATCCGTGTTATTCCGACTTTCGTTTGTTTTTATTTTAATGCGACTTGCCCTCAGAAATTTCGAAATTGGATCCATTGTGCCAAGTAATGTGCTCTAAGCTTGTCAATTCGTTTTGATAAAAAAAAAAAAAAAAACTTGTCAATTCGAGTCGACCCGTTTTGACACTAGTCCGATGAGAAAAATGAGTGTCATACAGTTGCAGGTCGAATTGTAATAAGGTTTTCGAATTAGAGGTCACATGCACATTTTTTTTCTTGTAAAATACGTCTTTTTCTAGTTTTCCTTTCATCTTACACTATATTTAGAATTCTAAGTTGAACATTTGAATATTGATATTATATGAGTGTGTTTAAATTTTCATTAAATGTTGAATCCAAGAACGAATTGTTATTTTCGTGTAATGTTACATGCTACTACTCAAATTGTTAGATGTGATTTAATATAATTTATACATGTATGAATAATATAATGACTTTTTCATATATCTGGCTAAACCTAGCTAAAGTGATCGTACTGTTAATCATCAACCACTTGCTCTACCAGGCCAACGGGCTAAATCGGGTTGACAACCTTGAATTAATTACACATCGTTACACATTACTTCCAGGAACGCCAATGGGTGGATGGTAATGGGTTGGCCCTTTGGATAATTGGACCCAATTGTCATGACTAATATGGGTCGGCCCTTTGGATAATTGGACCCAATCGTAGCCGTTCCACCAATCGCCCCGTCCAGCAGTCACCACCGCAGTTCAAAGTTCCACAATCTCCGCAACCTAAATTTGCGTAGCAAAAGCGCTGTAGCAAATAGTTCCCGTAGCATAAAGATTGTCGCTACCTCGTTTCCCATAGCAAAATCGCTGGTCTGGCAGAACCAGGTAAGTGTCGTCCCTCCCTCCCGTGGCCACTGTGTACTGCTTTGTTTTCTTGAGCTTAAGAATATTTTTCGCTTAGTGTCACTTCCTTTATACGGCCAGATTGATATTCTGTTGGTTTAGCAATCTGAATGAGCTCTTGTGTTTCCTCGTCATTAACTCGGTGGCAGGGGTTGCTTATATCTTCGATCCTTCAACCATCCTGTTGTGCTAATTAGAATAGAGAGAAGGCGCCCCAAGCACTAGGCAAAGGTAAGATTATATTAATGTCTTGAATTTTGTGTTTTAATGAAATTGTGTAAGTCAACTGGTTCCTAATGTTATGTCATATACGCTCTGCAGTTCCTTTTCTAGTTCATCTCACGCTCTGCTTCCATCTTGACCAACTGCCTATAAAGGGAAGGCCAGTTTCTTTACGCACAGATTGAATGAGTAGAAATTGGATTAAGCTTAATGATAGGTTTTGTGATGAATATCAAAAGGGGGTTCTGAGTTCATAGGGGCTGCCAGCAAACATGTTGATACGCTAGGTAAAACTAGATGCCCTTGTAAAAGGTGCAATAATCGAAACTTCAAGAAGTTGGAGATTGTCGCAGATGATATAACCAGGAATGGCATGGTGGAGACATATACTACATGGATCCATCATGGTGAGTCGTTTGACTTTGCGAGTACTAGTAATCAGCCTAGGCAACCTAACGTTGAGCCTGATACTGAGGGGTGACATGGTTGATATGTTAGAGGATATGCTGCGTGCTTGTTCTGGAAATGATCCTGTCATTGAGGGGTCAACAAAACCTAATTATTCTAATCTAACACACGTAAATGACAAATTGGCTCGGCTAATCCGTGATGTCAATTTGCCATTATACCCTGGATGCAAAGACTTTTCTAGATTATCATTCGTTGTGAAGTTGCTAAACAATAAACTGGTAACCAACAGTACTGACAAAGCCTTCAACATAAATCTGGACCTAGTCAAGAAATCTTTACCAGTTGGTGAGACGCTTCTTTCTTCCTTCTATGAAGTTAAGTGGTACATGGAAGATCTTGGGTTAGGCTACACCACTATAGATGCCTGCCCAAATTATTGTGTACTCTATACAGGTCCTCTAGAATCTGCCAAGTCATGCCCCAAATGCAATGAGTCTAGATACATACCTGGGAAACAAAATAATGTAGCCCAAAAGAAAGCTAGGTATTTCCCACTAAAAGATAGGCTTCAAAGATTATACATGACTAAGGAGGATGCTAAAGACATGAGGTGGCACAAGGACTTGTGTGTCGATAATGATACGTTAAGGCATCTGGCATATGCAAAATCTTGGAAACGATTCGATGAGGATCATAGTTGGTTTTCAGCAGATCCTAGGAATGTTCGCCTTGCTCTTCTGAGTGATGGGTTCAACCCTTTTGGGAACATGAGAAATAGTTATAGCATGTGGCCTGTCGTGTTAACACCGTACAACCACCTTGGAAATGTATGACAGAACCTTATTTTATCCTTGTTGTCCTTATACCCGAAGAGAAATCACCTGGTAATAACATACATGTGTACTTAGAGCCCCTAATAGAAATGTTGAGAGTGTTATGGGAGGATGGGGTCAGTACGTATGATGCACACTCAAACGAAACATTTCGTTTATATGTTGCGTTGTTATGGACAATAAACGATTTCCCCACATATGGCATGCTATCGGGCTAGAGTACGAAGGGGAGATTAGCCTGTCGTGTATGTAATAGTGAGACATGTGATAGACCATCATTTACACATGTTTTTACTCCCGTTCTTACACCGTTTGAGGTATTGATTCTCGTGTTTTAGGCCGATTTCACGCTAGGTTGTGCTTGTTTATGATATTTCAGGTCCTAGTACGTGAATGGAAGCTTGGGAGCGAGTTTGAGGTCGATTGGACAAGGATCGGACGCATGGCGAGGTTCTGAGGAAGTGCACGGGCACACCCACAACCCGCACGCCCGTGCAAGTGACCAGTTTGGCCGTGCGAGATTGTGCGTGGGCACGCACGGGATTGTGCGTGGCCACGCACGGGATTGTGCGTGGCCACACACGGTCGTGCAAGTGACCAGTTTGGCTGTGCGGGATTGTGCGTGGGCACGCACGGGCAGAGCAGAAATCCGCACGGCCGTGCAACATATAATCCTGGCCGTGCGGGATTGTGCGTGGGCACGCACGGGATTGTGCGTGGCCACGCACGGCCGTGCAAGGTGCAACCCTGGCCGTGCACGATGGCTAAAGGTCGAATTTAATGATACGGCGCGTTTTGTGTTGCACGGCCAGAATGGTGATGTGCACGGCCGTGCACCCTGGCCGTGCAAGTCGGGAAACCCTGTTTTAGAGCCTATTCCGAGCCAGAAATGGGAGAATCGTGTTTTTGAGAGCAAAAACAGAGCCCTAGAGAGAGAAAGTGCGAAGAACACATCCTAGAAGCTGTCTTAGAGCTGGATTTCATCGAATCGAGCCTGGAGATCGTCATAGAAGTGGAAATCATCGTCCCGGAGCAGATTATCCTCATCGTTATGAGTATGACTAATCCGATTCTTGTTTTCTCTTCTCTCTCTATGGAGTAGAACCCTTCTCTCACTTGGGTATGAAGAACCCTAGTTCCTTGTGTTAGGGATTTGATTGTAATGACTTGGGATGATATTACTGTTTGATTTTAATCGAATGATGCATGTTTATTGAATTGATTTGAGTCTGATCAGCTTTTCTCAATTTCTGCTGCAACCTGAGATAGATAGAATCTGATTAGGTTGTTAGAAGCCTCTTCATTCGATAGTAGGAGATTGGCTATACGAGAGTTAGCCAGTTTACTGCTTTGTACTGGTGTTCTTGGCGCCAGTAGTGGAGTTCTGTGTTCATAGCCTCAGCTTTCTATCCCGGTGAAGACTAGTCGTCTGCCGGGTAGTTAGACTGAGAGGGCTTGGTCAGCTTAAGAGATTCCAAGCTACTGTCGGATCTTCCGCAGTCTAATCAACAGTAAATCAACCCAGGGAATTGCAATTGAACCTAACTAAGGGGCTAGGGGGACTCAATCCCGAGTGACTCTTGCCTGCTTTAGAAACCCGAACAATTTACTGCTTTCTTGTTGCTTTTACTTTTCACAACAATCACTCGAATTAGTTTGCTAGATAATAGAGAATCACGGAGTAAGCAGTAGATCTAGACCCCGGGTTGATAATTAAACTTTCCTATACTGCAGTCCCTTTCATTGGTTACACTTGGCCATTGTTAGGTGTTGTGTTTTAGCGTGTCAAGTTTTTGGCGCCGTTGCCGGGGACCCTCTAGGTTATTGGGGAAACGTGAGAATTTGTTACTCTAGCTTTTTATTTATTGCACTTTCTTTTCTTTTCCACCCTTGCTTTTCACTTGGGTGTTATGTTTTTGTTGGTGCAGCTCTGAAACATGGATCCTCATGGCCTCTACAACC